GCCATCAATCTGTTTGTACGTGTCTCCTTCGAATTCAAAATGAATGTTTTCGGTACATAAAAATATTAGTTCTTTTAAGTATTCAAGAGGAATAGCAAGGGAAAAATTACCTGAAGAAATATAATCACATAAAAAGTCAACTGTCTCATGGAGCGAAACATTGGTGAAAAGGGAATCCACATCTATCGAATACATACGTTGTGAAGATATTGTCAAGTTTTCTAATCATTTGGATAGTTCGAAGGAATCTTTTAAACAATGGGGTGTTAAAGACTTACAAATTGGATTTAAAATTTCCACCAACCATCGAGCGAGTTCGTGATATGGCGATTTATACATACACAAAATTGGCCTGAGAGGTGTCCCAGGTTTATGAACTTTAGGAGAGCCTCTCATTTGTGGTGTTTCTGTTCCCATTGGCTTCAGTTGTTTGTACTGCGTTTCGGATATGTAGCCATGTAGTAACAGAATTTATAGTATTCTTGCGATTAGGTTTTCAGTGAGGTGGTTGTTATCCGGTGTCTTGTCTATTTGAAACTTGCTCTCGTCCATTAGTATTTCTTTCATTTTGTTTGTACAACTGTCCCTGGTCATAATCACTGTACCAGATCCTTTGTCCGGTTTGAGGAATCTAAGGTCTGGCATACGTTTCAGTTCTTGTATTGCCTTAAAGTGTTCGGAAGTTAGGCAGCTCTGTTGCCGAATCGGTGTCGCAAGGTACGAGTGAGAAATATCCACCATTTTTACACGGAACCACCCGGCATTTTCTGTTGATGTGAATGAAAGGTCCTTCAGTTGATCATAGAAGTTTTCGAATTAACTTGATTCTGAAGACTGCCAATTTTCCTTGGTGGAATCTGAAACTTCATCTCAAGTGATAAAACATCCATTTGTGTTTGTGTGAATGCGGTGGATGTTAAGTTGTATATATGTTCAGACGATTGTACGGAAGACACAGATGAAAGCTTTCGTGGGATTGTACTGAGCAATTTTCTGATTGCGCTTTCTTTTTTTGTCTTTTGAAGAGTTGAATTGGAAAGTTTTCGAATTTGATTCTGCATACTAAGTTGAGATCACGTAGTAGAGGAATATATCGTTGTTGTGTTTCAGTGAACTTGTTCATTAAATGAAGTGATGTATCCATGTGAGATGTTGCGATTCGTATCAGATTAGTTGTATTCAATTGCAATTTCTCCTTCACAAGTAACTTCGAGAATTGGCGTGGAAATTGTCCAGAACATAAACAGTCCTTGTAGAACTGAACACGTGTTCGTTCAATAATGGTTTTACAGCGCAATGTGAGCAAACGATCAAGTCCTCGCGTGGTAGAAGCGGGGAGTCTACTGATCCGTTTACATAACCCCTTTCTGTGTGCCCAAAAGTTGTTAATCCAATCAATTCACTTGCCGTGGAGTTGGCCTACATTTTTTTAAATTCGAATAGCCCCTGTCTAACTGTACATGTCCGTTCTCTATGATTTACAATTTCAATGTGCTATAAATGTGCTTGTTTGTTTTACGTCAGCGATTGAGAAGATTAAACGAAATGTTAACATCTCGCGACATATGTCTTCTTTGGGTCCATGAGATAATCAGAACAAGAAGACAAGTTGTTAGCACCCACACCTTCCCAATAGATTCCTGTGACATCATTGGTCACTGTCACAGTTGAACTAGAAAACTCTCAGTTGGCAATCACTATCGGGATGTAATTTATTTCCGTGTTGTCGTCCCCGGTATAATGGTAGCACCTTTGTTGTGCTTTCTATCTAGGGCATACACTCTCTACGCACAAGTTTAGTGCAAATGTATGCAGTAGTTACTGTGCTACTTGAATTGCGCTTCTTATCGAAATTTCTTCTCACTCAACCATGTCCTCCTCGTTTTTATCAGTTTGTGAAAGCAAAGTCTTTGTATCTACCCAACACGTGAAATTCTTAGCTCTCTTCACATAATCATATGTATTCGCGGAAACTTCAGTCCTGTACGAATTGATAATATTTCCTTTATCATCGCTGTATAGAGATGTCTCTCACCGACTCATAAAGATTTCTCGACGCCGGTGAGTTCAACGGCTGTGATGTGAAAGTTGTCTGAAAATATACTTAATGAACCCGACAGCCTCACTCCATATCGGNTTTGCAGTAACCACCACCACTGCTTACCATGATGGATCCACGTAAACGACATTGGGTGTGCGCAACAATGCACAGAACATAAACAAAGTTCCTGAACATCCAGGGATGCCACGAGTCAAATCTAACCGCTTCCTGTTAAACATCTGGATGCTCGTCATCATTCCTACAAAATGACCCAAGCGCAGCACTTGAAGTCGGTCACAAAAGTGCATTTCACGTGTATTCTTATCGTGCTTTCTGTCGATGTGCGTGTATACGACTCGATGAGCATGTCTCCTTTTGGGAGAGTTTCAATAGTCGATCGGGACTGGGTCCGTGTGTGCTCCATGGGAGTGCGTGATCGTTTTTCGGGAGTACTCTCTTGGCAGAAAGCACACTGTGTTTGGTCTTTCTTTAGGACAGCGTTGGTTTAGTGTTTTAAAAACCGTCCACTCGTGTTTTGACTTCGTCACTGTTACCCTACTTTGGCGCTTAGCGGTTGATAGTCTTCGATTAACCCTACTCCCTTCTCTGGTGTTTATTGATTTTACATTTTTCGTGTATCAACTGAAATGGATTGTAATTAGTATTATTATATATTAATCTACCACTTATTTCGTTTGTTAGTAAATGAACCTAAGAACGGTTGGTGCCTTCTTGTGCCCGACAATAGTCCTCTCTACCATGCTGATCTTTTAAGTAGCTTAGTTCATTGCAACCTCCCGATGGAGCTCCGGTATTAGTATTATTTTAACAAATTAATGTAGATAATAATTGGGGTGTTTGCTGTTTGTAGTCTAACATTTCCACCCGTCAAAAATATATCACTTTCTCATCAGGCACCGACCACAAACACATCTTCAGGCACTACTTCTGCCTCGGGTGGAGTGTATGTCCCGCCCGCGTTACGAAATCGCTCTGCTGTGGCAAAACAAGCTGTTTTTGCAATGCATGTTGCCGGATCGCAACCAGCTGCAAAGATAAATTTGCCAGTGGGGCTTGATCCAGGTGAGCTGTTTTGCATAGTTATCAGAATCTTCATTCTTGTATGTGGTATGTGTTTATTCTTCACTCAGGACAGCCCTTGTGTAAACATCTTTTTATTGGAAAATCCAATCAATAATATTTGTATGTGGGCGCAATACCACTGTCACATTAACTAAACCGAAACAAGCAATTGTTCTGTGCACCAACCACGGAAAACTCCGGTCAACTAATATTTCATTCTTATAGGAATCAGGTAATGGGTGAGGGTCGCAGAGTATCATAACTATAGTATCCATGTCCTATTCCA